CTGTGTGTAGACCGCCACTCAGCTACAATTCTCTGCCTTGTGAGATCTTTCGTCAGGGTTAATCCTATGATTACTGAATGTCAAGTGAAAGGTGTGAAGGGGGTATGCTATCTCAGGTTTGCAGTATCTCCAGAAATGGATTGATCTATGGAAGCCCTAAGTGTCAAATAATTATATGATAAAGTGTTGGTTGCACCAAAATAGTCGAATTGTCTCTCAGAAAGCTGTATAAAAGAAAGTCACTTCTATTTCTTTACTACACAGTAGAACTTACCTCAGTCCGACGACGTTCATCCATCAAGTTTAGTCTATAATTCTACACCTAAGTTTACATTTACCTACTCCTATTACTGATCTGTGAATCGTTTATGATAACATTCATTGTTTTATCTTAACTTCCAATGTCAAAAAATAAATGCAATTGATAGACACATGTCTGTGAATTACAACATTATTTTTGAGTCAATTATCCTACTACCAAGATCTTTACTCACCGTAGAATTTATTCATGATTCACTGAGACATCTATCGCATGTTAAAATTCATTTTACTGGAATCTTCAGCTCATCAGATGTCATGATCTCTAAAATAAATTGGTGAATCTAGGTAGTCATGAAAAATAGATTTGCGAATACAAATTTCCAGTCAGCAGACTTTTGGAATTACCATATTTATTTGCACTACTAGATTCGAATGAATTACAATATTTTCTTCATGTGCTTTTACATTTATCAGTCACCGTAGTGTGCTAATGCTTGACATGGTAGTGAATTTGTTCAGGGTTTTCGCATATCTCATATCAAAACCTCACTCATCATATTAACAGAATTTCTGAATCCATTCCACAGCTTTTCGTCTTTTTGAGTATGTTTCACAGACTACTGATTAATCCAGCTTGTATGGTCATTTATTTCGAAGGCTTTTAAGAGCCAGTTTTATAAGACAATGTGTTCAGAATTTTTCATGCTAAGATGAAAATGTTTCCATTTCAAATGTTTCCATTTAATAAATTTCTAAGATACAACAGACGCGCACACACACCAGCAAAAACTCTAAATCTGTCTTCTATATTTCTATATCCTCTGAATATCTGCCACCGTTATCCACATCTCCGGTATCAGTGTTGCTTCGTCCTTATTACTCCACATGTTGGTTCGCTGAACAGAAACTGAGGTATTGACTTCTCTTTCCACCTAAGCCACTTATTCAGACTTCTGCCTTGTTCAGTGTGTTGACGGATCATATGAAAGTGCACCGGTAGAAGTGGCTGAATATCTCTTAAATAACTTGTATTCACGATGTTAATCATCATAGATCAAGTAAAATTGCTATCTCCTGATTACTCAATCGACTCGACGTGGCGCGTGTAACCGTAGACTGTGTAGGAAAGCCTATGTAAAATGCATACGTAATCGTGTACTTAGGTGAAGACTCATCGCATGGATTCTTCGAAATGTTCATGCTTTGACTTGTAATCAAAATGACATCTAAAGCTAAAATTAGATTCCATAAGTAAATTGTTAGATTCCTGAAGTTGAATCTGTGCTGGTGTATATTGTCTCAGTTGTGTACACCGTGAGATTTGCTCCAAGTGGATTAAAAGTAAGCTTGATTGATGTCTTTGTTCTCCCATAGTCTGATAATTGAATTCACGCATGTGTAAGGAGAATTCACGATACACTATTATTACAATTAGCTTTACCACTCAGTGTAATCATCTGAGTTAAGGAGATTTGAGCATATTTTCAAAAACGTGGATACGATGACATGCATCGATTTAATTTCAGAACGTTTCGTCAATTTAGGAATATTTCTGATGAATATCTGTTGAAATCTCGTTCACTGATTTTAAGGAGAAAAATATGAGGGTGGAACATATTTTTACGAACAATTATGCACCTGTTTAATAACACACCCATTCAACTCAAACACAACGTTAAAAATAATTACACCTGAATACAGTGTCAGCAGACCTCATGTTAAATAATCTAAACTGTCTGACGCGTAGATTCCTCGGTCTCTCCTTCAATCCTACTGAATAGTCTCACTCTCATCTAAGCGAATGTGATGCACCAGACTCATTAGGACAATAAGTGACAACTGAAAATCCGAAAATCCAGGAAACGGATGATTCTCATTTTGAGCTGAATGCATAATTCGAGAGGTTGTGTCATTTCATCCAACTTCTACAATCATCCAATCACTACATGTCCTCCTTAGTCAATATCCTTATCACTGTCATCATCCATATCATTGCTGCTCATTTTGTAATTTCAGAAGGAAACACAACACTCCCTTCGACAATTCAATGTAAGAACAGGACAAATAGAATAATTTGTTCAGTCTCACTGAAAATATATAGAATATGCAGTGACTGAGATCAAAATGCATAGTCTTAGTCATTACAGAGCCTCAAATTGTGTGTTCAACAAACTGCAAATGCGCTAGAGAGATTCAGGCAATGATAAATGAGCAAGTGCTTATTCGAATATCACATTCAACACTTCTGTGAGTGCAATTAGTTTAAATCTACCATTCAAACCAGAGTGGAGTTTTACAATCACCTACCTCACATTTTACCCAATTTCTGTTCTCATGGAACCTATGCTGAACAATGCCAAGCATGGAGGAGTACAAGTTATTGTGATGAGTGTCGTTGTGGATATTCAGTAGGTATAATTCATAGTGTTAAATCACCTGTAGATTCTATCTGCATTCATTTGATAACACGTCGAGGGAGAGTAAAAAATAATTGTGTAGAATAACTGCCTAAGAACGAGGTGGTCTCTGGCTGCTAATATTCATTATTATTCTGCAGTTGACATCCTGCCCACTACTGGATGTCATAATGAAGTTGGATGTGAACAGCTTCATAAAATGTATTTCTCATACGGCTTAGCTAGTCCTGTCCAACTCACATGGATGATTACCTGAGATTTCCTACTCCACGAGCTACGGATATAGCGCTTCTGGTGGCTATCTAATGGGAAAACTTCACTTTCCCATAACATTTACGTGAATACTTATTGGTTTTAAATCATTATATCCTAGTGATTGGTCATTTGAGGTGAGTCATTAATATATAAATATATATCTATATTATGCAAACTATAAACAAAACTACCACCTACCTACAAGATTACAATCGTCTTAACATCTGCAGATATCTTTCAGCTGAATTTAACGAAATTCTTCCGACTGGTATCATTTACTGTTGCAAACAGCTGGAAACCAGCAACATACACCAGTCGCAATTAGGTTCGTTTTCTTCAATTTTCAACAGAGTTCAACAAATATACGTTGGAATTTAAGTAGAGATAGAATCCTAGAATTTGGTTACAGCTAATTATTAATTTTACTACATTATTGGGATCGTACCAACGTTTTATGTGTATCTAAAATACTAAATATTATCAAAGTGTTCATATTTATAAAATTTTACTTAATATATATATTCGTATGAACGTGAAGGATAACCTACCACTGCCGGCCTCATCAATATGTATCTATCAGTTCACCTGCTCGTGTGCAGCCAGGTGTGTCGGTCATACAAAGCGTTCGCTTTCCAAACGTATCACCGAACGTTTACTAGCATGGTTTTACAAAGAAGAAAAACGTTACCCTTGCAGCTCTATCTTAGAACGTCTGATAGATTCCCGACACCAAATTAGACTTCAAACAAACTTCAAATTCGTCCACAGAATACGAAGGAATCTTCCTAAAAGTGCAGGAAACAAACTTCTTCAAACTGCAGAAGCAGTGGCACTCCACTTGTTAAGTCCTGAACTCTGCACACAGAAGAAGTTCGTTTGCAATGGATGTAATCTATCTTAATACCCAACAAGTAAATTCTATTTCTCTCTGTCTCTTCATTCGTATTATTTTATCTTTTCAGTTGCATTATTTTACATTTCCAACTTTACTGTTCTCTACCCTCTACCCGATTTAATTTCTACACCTCATCACCACTGTTACTGACTTGACCAACACTCAATTTCTAGTCATTTATGTTACATAATCCAGTTTATTTGCTCAATTTTAGTCCTAATCTAAATGGCATTTTTCTCTACCCCACCCCTACTTAGTCTGTACATGTAATTACCTCTGCTGCTACCTTGACCTAAGCTGAAACATTTTACAACAACACATTTAAGCGAACAATATTGTTTTCAATTAGATCTGATCAGGCTTAACTCTTATATATATAAGTTTACAAATAAAAATTGAAATATAAACCAATCATGGTGTTTTGTCTATATATAGACGTCTGTGAATCACAATAAAAATAACCTTCTTGATACTATCAATCAAGACACCAGGCTTCAGTACATAAAGCTATATCATTGGTTGACTAGAGGTCAGTTCCCCGATAACGGGCTATGACCGAAACTTATTTTGTGACGTATAATGATTCTACCCACTAATTCTACAGGATAAAGTATGTGTAGCAAAATCCAGCCACAGGATCCAGTTGGCAGAAAAACAGAATGCCTAATCCAATGAGCCACATTTTTACTCTGTACTACAAATCGATTGAGTGATTTAAGTAGATGGATATCACTCACGCCAACTAGTGATGCTCACTAGCCGGATCGAAGTGCTCCGAATACCAAACAACTGTTTGGCTCATTTAAAGCTAACCTAATTAGCGGTATACTCAGTTTGACTTGGCTCAGATAGCAGAATGCATTTGCCTAGTAATCACTACTTATTGATGTGAATGGTCGTGACTACTCATGTCAATCAATCACTAGTAGTATAACATCATGAATGACTAACATTTTAAGCTTTTAAATAGATCAACTAATCTATAACTAATAGTCAAAGTACAGTACACACATGAATACAATGACGTCTAACTTGTATGGAGTTAAGTGCAAATATCAACTGCATACTTATATGATAATTAATTTATGCACTCTAAAGTTATATATATAAATATATGTATAAGAATTTGAAGGGTGTTTAACAAACTCCTACATATTCCATAAATCATCAACATGTCTGGATTAACTGGAACATGGGAATCAGAAAAAGTGCATGGTTTCGAATCTGTCGTTGATCAATTCGGTGTTGATTGTGAAATGAGAAAATTGTTACTAACAGCTAATCCAACATATACATATACACCATTGGGAGATGATGGAATGAAAGTTAGAGTTGATTCAGAAATTAGAAATGCTGAAGTCTCCTTTAAATTTGGTGAAGAAATTGATGAGAAAACAGTCCTTGGTACAGTGTGTAAAGTGAGTCAACAGGGTTCTGAGTTTTTAATTCAGTTTTTCTTTTGTTTTTCAAATGTACCTTTCAATCGCATATAACATCTCTTTACTTTTGTAAACTTTTAAAAGTAGAATTAAGGATGAACCCCTTTCCTACCTAAACCCAACTTGTAAAACATTGATTTATTGGAGGCAACTGTTCTATCTGCATTGGAAATTGAGTTTCTTCATTGTCTTCTAAGAATGCGTTGACATTGCTTTCCATTATATATTGATTGTATTTAATAATGCTCTAAACGTAGAACTGATGGTGTACATCACCTTACTCCTTGATACTAGATTATAGTTTCAGTTGGAAAGAAAACGTGACCATTACTATTAACATTCTTTACTTGCACTCCAAGTGAAATATCCAGTCTAGCGTCGCAAATCCATTGCTATCGATTTGCTGTTATCTACAAGCTTTCACCTCCTCTTCACTTTGTCTTTGGATGTCTAATCCATCACCTTCCATTAATTCGGATTCCAGTCAAGTGTCTGGCATGTAATAGTGTCATCAGTACATTCTCATTCTATCTCCATTTCCTTCCTGATATATCTTAGTTCGCTCTTTAACAGAGTTCCGAGTTGCTTATCCTCTCTGGCCTACCGTCTCATCTTCAGCATCTAGCGAAGCCATCTGTGGATAGAAGTTTACAGCAGGCTGTTAAAAGTGCTTTCGATGGCTCTGAACCATTTAGAAACATTAAATTGATTTTCATTAATGTCAGGTTCTTGAATCTGTTTCCCCTTCTGGATTTGGGGACGAATTGAAAGCCTGCTCGTCTTTTAGTGTTGTGTCCTGGCTGCTTTTGACATCCATATTCTTACCGCTTGTAATTGAAACAATGCTGGCTAATTAAGTGAATTATTGTTACATAGAATCAAATTTGACAAAATTTCTATTCTCGAATCTCTTTCTGTCCATTGCGCAGATTCAATACAACTAAGTTTAATGAAGGCAATTCTTTTATTTGTTTTGTTGCATATTTTAATTGTGTGATCTGCTTGATATCATAAATGGTATTCAAGTGATTTCCACCTGCACATATTAGAGAATGGTTTATATTTACATATACATATAAATATATATATATTCATTTGTTCCCTCCAAATCACCCATCCATTTCTTTTTTTCCTCACAATTCATCAAGAGTATGTATAGAAAAGTATCAGATAATGAAATTGTTAATACTCAGAGACATCCGGAGGGAATCATTGAAATTGATCACAAGGTAGACGGGAATAAGCTCTTAATGGTGAGTAGACCAACGATGTTTATCTTTTGCTTCACTGCTTTTTGTTTTTGTCAGATATTGATTTATAGGGCATACTTTTGTCGCGAAGACATCGTCTTTAACAACTTCATCGTTATATTACTGTTACTGTGGCGTAAAACAACCTAATTGCTGGCAAGCTAGACGAAATCGAATACATTAACCAGCGAAAACAACCCCTATCGATATTCTCAACATTAATAACAACTGTATCCATATTGGCGATAAGGAGAGAGAGAAATGACAGGTCGAAGACAAGACAGCTTCATAAGCTTCAATCGCCAGTGGAAACACGTTGTAGCGATGCTGAACATATCTCGGTTTTTAATGACTTCGACAAACACTAAATTTCAATGTAGACATTTTAACCAAATGAAATTAGTCTCAGAGCCAATGCAAACCAAAAAGTTGCTTCATGCTGGTCTGAGACTATTTGTCAGTGACTACCCACGACCCCAACAAAGATTAAACAACATAGGACCTTCAGATTACTAAGCAACTCCACTGACTATTCAGCGAGTAGATTGCGAAGTCTAATTCCTGTCAGTTCGCGAGTTATCCATCAACATACGTATACAGTTTCTGAAAATCTTTTCCTCTAGATTTTGCCTTCTTCTTTCTTGTCTTAATATTTCAAATCATTTCAATCTTGTATATACTAAGAAAGAACAGGCAACAGCACTTTTTTAATTATGGCTTGATTCCACACCGTATTTTTGGTGCAAGTATGGGATTTTCAGCATATGAAATCTATAGCCCAAATTTTGCAGGCCAACCACTGATATCAGAGGATTGAACCCCGGACCATGTGCATGGTCGGTGAGAGTCCTAACCACTGTTTTACCGACGCACTTAACTTCAGTTACGAAATATTAATCAAAATGATGCCAGCCACTGCACAATGCGTTGCCCAAGATCTCAGTGGATAACGCCTTGACACTAGAAACGTTCATTCAGCTCTCAATCACTGAACACTTGGTAAGTAGTACACTGATCTTGGATTAATTTGCTAAAAGTATTCATATATGGCTTCTTTTCCTTTCGGTTCTTGCTTTCAATATTACTTCATGATTTCCTCCATTTCTTCTCTTTCCTACTTGATCCATCCTTCTGCTATCCAAGCATCGGGTGGACGACATTAACAGTATACTGAAAACAGAATCTTAGTGGTAGCACACTATACCATTACTCACTTGAATGGAGGTATATCTCACTGATGAATCTCAAACGGGGTGAAACGCTCATCGTGTAATAAATGGTCACCTACAAGCCAATAGGAAAATAAATAACTCTTGTCTTTGCAGCTAGAATGGTAGAGATCATCTTCTAAAATACCCTCCTATGTGTATTACCTCATTTTCACGTAACCTTTGTGTTTGTGATTCATACTACTTAAATTGTTTTGTGAACAGAAGAACTCGTTGTGTTATTTTTTATCTGTCAATTCAAATTTTAGCACAGTTTCTCCTGTTTTCTTATCTATTCTACAGACTGTCTGTGTTGCTGATAAAAAGTGTTGTAGAACATTCCATCGTAAACAATAATTCCTCAATATTAATGGCAGTAATATCCTTACTTTCGTCGTAATAGCAATTGTTAATAATATCTATTAATTGAATAAATGTTAAGAATAAATTATCACGTGTGTATTTTCCTGTGCATCTAAAAAGTTAACAGTTTTAATTTCAGTAATATTTATCTTAATAACAGCAATTCTGTTCATCCAGGAAAAAACCTACATCAGCTGGAGAACCATTGAATACTTAGAAGCACTATCCAGCTATGTCATCCTAGTTTGTAAACCTTCAACACTGTATACTAGTAACACCACACAGGATAGAACTATGAACAATCAGGTCTCTGATACGACCCTCTTGATCACCGTGTAACTCCGACAAATTCGAATATCAAGTCCATGTATCCTGACTTTAGGCAGTTCTTGAAATATATAGAGCCACAGCCGTGGACACGGTCACTACTGGGGTCACGGATGCCTACTGCTGTCAAGTCCTAAACTGGGATTAAAAATTGCCTGGTGCTCTCTGCTCTTCAGTGCTTCTTGAACTGATGTCACTTAGATTTGTAATTAGAAGATAACTGAATTTCTGCAGACCGACACTATCAAAAACAACCTTATGACTTATCATTGCAGATTACTTCAACTACCTGTCTTTATAGATTACATTTACCTTTTTCTTAGTTATGTTGAACAATATTTTAATAGACAAGAGCAGCAACAAGATAATAATGGGTATCCTTTATGCTGGTAGTCAAAGAGGTGTAAGTGCCTGGTTTTATCCTCAGGTGAGTTTGCCTGTCACACTTACAAAAAGACTAACTTCTTTTGCCTAGGTCTTAATCAGTACTCTGCCTATCCTGCAAGTACTGAGGAACGAGTAAAAACAGAAAATAAAAGGACTCGCTACTTGCCTGTAACCAAACGTATATTTATAACGAATGTGATTAGAACTCAATAATATAAAAACAGGTTTACCACTTATCTGTACCCTTAGGAGTAGGGAGCTAGAAGAGTATGCTTGTAAGAGAGTTCAGTGAGGGAGAAAGCGTACAAGTGCCAAAATGTACAAGAAGCGAAGTGCCACACGCGAAGCGAAGAGGCGATGTGCAGTAGCGCTAAAAATTGGATGGCTTTAATCATTGGGTGACCAAGCTGTCATCTAACGTAATCCATCGACTTCACTCTGTTTTACACAGTTTTCATCTTTTGACAGCTCTCTGAATTTGTGTTCGATTTCCGTTTAAAAGGAGCTATCTGTAAGAACGATTTTTTCGAAGGATATAATAAGACTGATTTCGATAAATATATCTTGAACTACTAGTGGATAAGCGTAGTAGTCTAAAGCTGGATCATTTGAAGGAGTTGAACTATCTGCACACAGTTACACATTTTTTTTATTCCTTCACGTTCCCAGTGGAACATAGGGCTTCAAGCTAGAGGCTTGAAGTTTCTGTAGCAGTGTTTATTTTACAGGATGGGTTTACTAGCCTCATGCCCAACCTTTCCTCTTCAGCAGCTTTAGTTCTGGCTGAGCGAGGTAAAGGAGTGCGTCGGCCGGAGATCAAACCCCGGACCATGTGCATGGTCGGCGAGTGTCCTAACCGCTATGCCACCGACGCACAGTTACACATGCACACAGTCATTTGCCATATGAACGACTATTGACAGAATATCCATGAAGAATACGTCACTGTCTCATGTACACCCAATGCTTCTAGTGTCTCAGTCAAGCTCATTATCAGTCAAAAGGGTTATAGTTCACAGAAGTGAAATTTTCAGGAAAAGAATCCACTTTCTGTTTGGTTATAGAAACATAAAGATTTAATTTGCAGCAACCAAGTTAGGACTAACAAACAGGGACTATTACTTTCCAACCATTGTATTTATAAATCAGAGGTCATTGTAGACGATCTCTTCGATAAAGTAAATTCTGTCCATCTAATTATCTTTTATTTTATTCACGATCAAATGATAAGCATTTACTGTTGACTTGGTATTCATGTAATTAGCGAACTAAAAAGCATCAGTAACGTACTTTTGAGAATCTTAGGAAAGTAAACCACATAACCTATTTAATGTACAGTAAGAAGCAGCCTTCACCAACCAACAGCAACAACAAACATTTCCAATCACTATCAACGGGAGAAACTTGAAAGAGGTAACTTCCTTCACTTATGTAGGAAGCATTGTTTCAACCACAGGTGGGCAGAACAGATGAAGATGTCAAAGCCAGAATCGGAAGGGCAAATATACCTTAATCAATCTGAAATCGGTTTGAAAGTCTTCTGAACAACAAACAAGAGCAAGTAAACTGGTATATGTACGTTGACGTGGCCCAATGCGATAGCTTGTCTTTCACGTCCTGGCTGAAAACTTTCTTGCGCTACACTACACTAGCATATTTTCATATCCACACTTCCTGTTTATTTTGTCATTTTACTATTTCTACATATTCAATCCCTGATTGCATAAACAATTATTCATCACATTAGCTTTTTATCCAAACATCCTGTTATTTCTACATTTCTAACCCCCAAATGAACAATGTCAATCTTCTTAGTTATTATAATGCTACTTTGTTTGAGTTTTACCCATCCCCCCGTTTATTATGGCATACTAATTCCTAATTGTAATTTTTATTAATTTGACCCATAACCGGAAATTATTCTGCAACTTTCCCATTCATTTGATATAAATACACGAATGTACAGCCTAGATGATGACTTCGTCGAGAAGGAAATTTTCTCCGCTGCATTTGACTTTTTAATCTCTCCAGATTTTTAAGTCATCTGCGTATAGGACCATAGGGGAGTCGGTGAGCAGAGATAACTCATTGATATACAAAATAAATAGAAGAGGTCCGAGTACCATGCCTTTTCAAAGTTCATGCGGTAGCGATGCGTTTATCATGCCTAGCTGCAAAATGTTGAAAAACATTTACGTTGTAATATATGTTTTCATTTAGATTCATCCTACGGAAAATGAGAAAGATAGGTTTGGTTAAATGTTCATATGATCGAATCATGAACCTAACTAGTAATTTGATAGATTTAGACGACGAAATCAAATAAATCTGTCCGAAAATTAATTAATACTCATAGAAGAATTAAGAGCAGTTATCTAAATGATAAAGTTAATCTGGATAATGAAGAATTCCAATCTTCAATAATACCGCCGTAAATAAATGGAATATCCAAGGTCCTGTGTAACATTCTTAATAAAGCTGGAATTATAGTGAAATGTTAACCTACTTATTGGCCTTACAGTCCGATACACCAAATTTACTAAGTATTATGCAATTACTGTAAGTGTGGCTGTAAATGGACGCGAACATTGAACGTTTGTTTATTGGAACTGGTAGCCGTTGGCGGGCAACTCGAAAGCGCGAATGGTTCGATCGTGTACAAGTTGAAAGAAGACGAAAGAATACGAGTAAAAGTACATCATACTTATTTGTAAAACATTCGTTTATAGACTTTGTACATAGTATTGATTTAAACTGCCGAAGAATACGATTTCTTATTGGTCCTTGTGTTTTTGAGTTGAAGTCAACAATCGTACCTAGTATAATTGTTGATTCGGAGAGTCCTCGCAAATAATAAGAAATTAGGTTTAAGTTCCTTGACAGTGACCATTGATGTAAGTAAAAGTAGTAGGTCGGTTTCATTTAGGGTACTGGAAAATAGGTATTTAGCTAAACCTTGAATGAATGACCATGATAAGTGAAGTAATCTGGAAAGACTCTCAGCCATTGCAATGCATTCAAATGATTGTAGCCACATAGCAGAATTTGATATGCTAACAGCATCAGCAGGCAATAAAACAAGGTGTAGAGAGACGTTAAACAGTAAATGAACACCAAGAGCGGGTAATTCAAATGATGCAACGCCTATACCGAATAAATGGGTAATTACATTCAAATAGCATATGCAACAGCAAGCTATCAATTCGTATGGATATACTTATATGAGCGTAGCGGTAGGTAACTCCCCAGAATTACTGGTCACAGCATTCATCAGTGAACATTGGATGCTGACCCCTACTGTTTAAGTCAACTTGTTTAGCTCAAGGCTGCCGGTCAAGCATCCATGCCATTTGGTCGTGTCACGTTCGTTCGTTCGTGCACAATCCCTAGCTGGTTAAGCAATCATCTGGCACTCCAATTTAGTCGGTCAATTCTGGTGTTTTGCTTTACCTTTGGTTTACGCGGCACGAATACTGTAGAAGTTGTGGATATTAGATCTTGCGTCAGTATACTTCGTACTATCTGTCAACGTCAATACCTTCAGCCCCTAAACTGGTAAGCCCTACCGCGGACTTCATCTTTAGTAAATATACAGATAAATGCGATGATTTCAATCCATTCTGTATCTGTTCCTGTACTCCTAAGGTCATCCGTATTCGATCAACTGCCAAAACTATTTACGTCATACCATTCTGGTTTCAGATAGATGAGTCTGATTTTAACGAACATGGGTTAACTGATCAACGTTCACAGTTCCTTGAACTTGTCCACGCCCTACCACGGGGATTCAGCAAATGAGTAACTGCGCAGATATCGAGCCCAGAGGTAAGTAACTCGTATGAGTTGCTTTAAGCATCCCTACTAAGGAGAAACGTTCTCACGGATCGGCAGCGCCTTAACGAATCATTTTACAACGTGGGGTTAGGTGATCAGCCGGCTGTGGGTATGCTAACAAGAATGAGGGAAGTTATTGGCCAGCGTTAGTTCGATGAAGGACTTTTCAGAGAACTGTTCTTATCCAAACTGCCAGTCGGTACAGGCTGTGCTAGTGACACTTCAGGGTGTTATTTTAGACGACTTAGCTGTTTCTGCGGGTAAAATTCTAGAAATAACAAAACTGCCAGTTACCGAAATATGCTCAGTTGCCAAACAGACTTCGAGTAGGCGTACTGCACTGAAAGAGTTATGCAACTCCATCCAGCAGATGCTTAGGTCAAACATGCCTCATAATTCCTCCTACCGTCGTGCTTGATCCCCGCAACGGCAAAACGTACGTAGTC